TAAAAAACACTTTTTATCCCCCTGTGGAATCTAAAATCATCTTGGGGTGAACAGTTCGTGCCTGTTAACTATTCTGCTATCTTCAAAAGCAGACCAGACTGGTTGTTTGCTAATCTCTGGCTCGCACAAAGAAAATTCTTTGAAAGCTGCCTCCTGGGCAAAATATTCTTAGTCATACGTCTCAAGATTCCTCATTTTATTTCTACCGATGATATCATTACATCGGACTGATAAACATTACAGAGCAGCGGTCTCATTTTCTGTAAAGTTTCAAGGCTAAGAGCTTCAAATGAATGAAAAAAGTGACGACTAAAACAGAAGGACCGTTCTCGGGCTGACCTGATTCTGCAGAAGAAGGACCTGACCCGGGCGCACTCGAACAGGATCGCAGCTGCAGAGCACAGGAAAAGAATTAAAGATTTTCCAGAGCTCCGCAATACAAACAGCAATTTGCTTGACAACTGAAGCCTACAAGAACACATGACTCCGTGGAGTACCTTGCTTATCAAATGTTGCTTAAAATCTATCCTTTCATCCATTTTTCATCCAAATTCTTCCATAAATGTAGTTTAAAAAACACCATACTACTGCTGTTTCAATACGTTTCACAAGATTCATCCCCACACATTTCCTAACACACCTTTGTCTAATATCAGTTTAATATAACGCCAGTTAAGGAATCCCAACACACCATCTCCTGACAGTCAACATATCTCGATACCCTTACTACACCCAGGGGTGTGAAGCCCTTGTGTTTTACAAGTAGGATCTTGTACACTGTGCTGATAAAGAATTTGCATTATTTCATAACCTTGAAGGTACAAAAAACCTAAACCCCAGTAAAGAATTGGTTCAAGTCTTTGCCCAGCATCGATGTTGCAGCCCTTTAATGCTTTTCAAGATAATGCTTCTATCGGACTAAACTTTAATACAAGTAAGAAGCAGAAAATCTCCTATTGTATAACACTGTGTAGCTTCGACACCCAAGAAATGATCAAATGGCTGTGCAATACGAGTGTCTTAACCCCCTGGCTTGGAGACGTGTGCAGGTGTATGTCCCTGTTGCACGCTGATGCTCATGCCTGTGTGGGTGAGCACGTGCGAGACCGCGCGTCTGGAAAGGGGTGCCGCGCCGCGCCCCGCTCCCCCCGCCTCACCGCTGTCGGTGCCCATGTTCCAGGGTGGCAGGTGGGGCTGGGCGGTGTGGGAGTAGAAGATGTTGATGTCCTGGTGGTACAGCAGCTCCACGAACTTGGCCGAATCCAGGAACTTCCTCTTGCAGTTGAGGATGCTGGACGCCTGCTCCGAGATGTAGACGATCCGGCCGCTGGCCAGGGAGAAGACCGCCACAAACGTGTCCTGCAACACAGACGGAGCCGATCAGTACACTGTAAAAACAGTGACTTCCATCCGTCCATTCCATATTCACTTTTATCCAATTCAGCATGCAACAGGCGCAAAGCAGGGTACATCCTGGACGGGACACCAGTCCATCGCAAGGCAGACACACCCCATTCACACCAGGGCCAGCATTCCCAGAAGTCAGTTAACCTGCCAGGATGTCTTTAGACTGTGGGAAGACACTGGAGCTGCCAGAGGAAAACCACACCAACACGGGGGGAACCCAGGGCCCCTGCGCTGTGAAGCAGCAATGTTAACCAATGCACCACGGTGTCACCCAATACCATGACTTCTCCATAGTGAGTATCTGTGAACTCTGTGGCCACAATGCCAATAACCCCCCCCAATCAAATCAATAGATTCTCAGTGGAACACAAGGAGAGGATCAGACAGACTTCCATCACCTTCCCTGCCCAGAGATCTATCCTGTAGTATACTAGCAGTGATGTACCGTGTTTTTGAGGGTGTGCTCGGGGGTGATGTACCGTGTTTTTGAGGGTGTGCTCGGGGGTGATGTACCGTGTTTTTGAGGGTGTGCTCAGAGGTGATGGATTCCAGCTCCTCCAGGTTGCAGGCAGTGGCGTCGTGCCGTAAGACCACACCATTACTCATAAGCAGCTTGTAGTACTCACTGTTAGCTGCAGGAGGTGTAGGAGAGAAAGAAGAAATTAATATGAATCCGGCATCTGTTAAGCATAACAGTATATTGCAAAACAACTCTTTACTACAGCTCCACCTTTCAATGGGTGGGCTGACAAGTAAAAAACTTCCAACGGACTGAACCAGTCTTTTCTAAACAGGGCCTGCTTAAACCTTTGGCTTAAATTTAATCTTCTTTGACTAGTCTTTTTTTGAAGAACATAAACTAAGTCAATGACGAGAACACAGTATCAGCCTGTTAGTGCATACCGATGCCTTGTGCTCAAAATTATTCTCTTTTCATCTCTCATTTGCTGCATCTCTTCCTCGGTGTTCCCCAGTAACACAATCCACAATCATCCTTGATAGTCTTTTGTAAAAAACTGCTTTTTAATATCACTGCAAAATTAGTTTTAAACAAAGTTTCCAGTCGTGTTCTTTTGTATTCATCACCGATTTTAACTTTCATACCTACTACCATCACCCCTGTGCATTCCCTTTAAATGATTTCCTCTGAGATATCTTTTACAGAAGAAGGGTTCCTCAATTTATCCCCATAATTAATCTCCTTAAGCTCTGAATTGAGTCATGCTGCTCTTGTTTTATAAAATGCAGGCCAGAACTGCATAAAGTATTCTATCACTGATCTAATGAGGAGATTGTACTGTTTCAGCACAAGCTCTATTGAACTCTACTTTGCTAATTATCTAATTAGTAGTAGTATAGTATAACCCACTGTAGTACTACAGTACGCTCACTATAGTACGAGTGAACCAGAGTTCACTACAAAATGACTATTACTACAGTTCATCTCGCATCCCTCAGTACGACTCGTACAGCTCTACCGGCAGACTATTGCCCAGCAGCCCACGTCACTACAACAGTGCCTTTTAAAAGAGCGTCATGCTACATCACGTTGGCCCCACGTCCACCCTGAAACCCCGGTCCTGTCCCCCCCCCGTCCTCCCCCGGCTGGGCGCACCCTGCACTTGTTTGACGCAGTTGAGGGCGTAGTTGAGGGCCTCCACCGTGCTGGCCTTGCGGTGGCCCCGCCTCTCGGAGGGCAGCCTCTTCTTCATCTCCTGCACCGTCTGCATCATCTCCCGGTGCGCCTGGTCCCGCCCCCGCTCCGGCACGTCGCTGCATTGGAACGCACACCCGTCAATCACGGCCACCCCCCCCGGATCCTCCGCCGGGAAACCGCACGCAGGCAGGAGAGCGCACCGACACGCACTGCAACGTTCCCACATCCCATGGCGGGGAAAGGGAGGGTTACGTGCATACGGACGACGGGAAACGGGGATCCCATTCCCCAGGTTCCGAGTGAGACAGGACAGAGTGCTGGACACACAGCTGGTGTAAGTTAGTATCCCTCTATCTTGGATGAAAAGAAAATGATACAGTGCTTTACTAGTGAATGAGAGTTGTGTTAGTGATTTGTGCTGAAAGATAAGTACCTTGCTATACCGGATGGCTCAGAATTTGTCAAGGGCTAGAATACAAATGTTTCCGTAGTGCAAGTAGGGAGCTGTGTCAGGATGCGTAGCCTGCGATGGAACAAATAAAGTTTTATTCCATGCTGAAAAGAGAAGAAAAGAAACAGTTCCAGCTGTTGAGCCTTCAGGGGGGTGGGGGGAGGGGGCGGGGAAACCAGCAGCAGATACAGCGTGGGAGAACAGAAGCCGGAAGGAAGAGGAGGCAGGAGCAGGAGAGAAGCAGGACTGACACTCAAGCAGTGTGAAGTCAAGAGAGGTGAAGAGAGGAGTGAAGTCAAAGCCATCTCTCCGCGAGTTTCTGCTACCTGAAAGCCCAATTACAACGGCATGTCAATGTCTGCTACTGAGACCGTCGTACTGTTGCCAGAACCAAGTGTGCGCATGGATGTGTAACCTCTCGCAAACAGCAGCTTGACCCGTTTCTGGTTTACAAAGACGAAAGCCCCTGCACAGCAGCCAGCAGCAGGACTGAGACATTTCAGTCGGTGTTACTTTAAGGAGTAGAGTCTCATTTCCACAGCCACGCGTGCAGCAAATCCGACAGTAAACCTCCAGGGGTCGCTGCCCGAGGTGGATCAGGCTGCTGTTGTGCCGTGTTGTGTGCCCTGGCTGTCTGGCTGCCACCGGCGCTGGCGCCATGGCGACGGCGGCCGCTGGTACCTCTTGGCGCTGTCCGTGGAGGGGGGGCCGCCGTCGGCCGGCTCCACGGCGCTCCTGCTGTTCATCTCCACGTCTTCCTGGGCCGGCCCGCCGTGCGAGAACCTGCCCGGACTCTTCTCGCTGCTGCTGCTGCTGCTGCTGCTGCTGCTGCTGCTGCTCCCTCTTCCTCCTCCTCCTCCTCCTCCCTGGGCTCCGCCTGCCTCCCCTTCCTCGTCGCCCCCCGTCACGCCCCTGGACTCCCAGGACGACGCTCCCCCCTTCTCTTCGGCCTCACGGGACAGGCTGCTCCTGGGCATCTCCACCCCACCGAGAAGCCGAGCCCCCCTCTCTCCTTGGACAGGAAGCCGAGCCCCTCTTCTCCTTGGACAGGAAGCCGAGCCCCTCT